GAATTTTGCTGTTTGTATGAATAAAATACGTTTATCACAATGCTAATTTACTTAGTTTTGCAGCATTTGCTAATGTTTTAATGAAGTTAACTAGATCAACTGTGGTATCTCTATTGAGTAACGTTAACGTAACGGCTTGAGTAAATGGCTAAAGTTAGCTCAGCTTAGCTAAAATGAACAAGTATGAGCAAGTACAGCATGACAGTGCTTTTATACTAATCTCACCACACTTTAATACAACACTGTCTTTTCTCCCTGCAGTATCTCCAGAGACCCTCTCAGGGTTCAGTCCAGTCCGATGAGCCGGAAGCTGAAGTTGTTTAACTGTTACTATTACTATTTTCCATTGAGTCTGATATTGGTTTTGCCTGTCCTGTTTCTTCTATATTTGAGTCTGATACTGTTTCTTCTATATTTGAGTCTGATACTGTTTCTTCTATATTTGAGTCTGATAACGTTTTTGCTATTTGCTATTAAATTCATATTGTCACTTCAACCCTAATCAGTTGATTGGAATATACTGTACTTGGGTTCAATTCAACTCGACTTCAGTGGACTACATTACACATATTATAGACATGATTCATGGGTCTTTTTTAAATTATCTTTATAGATATTTTTGTCTTAATTTTAAAATCTGAAAGTTATTGTTTTAGGTTCATCATATATTATATAAATTGTGTAACGGTCACCAGGTGGAGTGACCTTGAGAGTCACCAGAGGGCACTCCACACCAGATGTTCATGTTTCACTCACAACTACATTTCCCAGAACTCACCTGTACCTCATTCACTGATTGCATTCACCTGTGTCTCATCCTGTTAGTCTGTCTATATATACCTTGTGTTCACATTCACTCACCGCAAAGTCTTGTTGTACTGTGTGTCTGCATTTTCATTTTTCTCGTGTTTGTCTTCTGTTTTTGACTTTGGATTGTTCTAGGATTTTGATTATTGCTGCCTGCCCTGACCTCTGCCTGTTTCTTGGATTCCCACTGTGTGTTCTCCATTGCCCTGTCTGCTGATTCTCGACCCTGCCTGTATGACTATTCTTAATAAGGCTGCATTTGGATCTACATCTCCCAGTCTCGGAGCAGTTCATAACACATTGTTATATGAAAAAAAAAAAAACATTAAGAAAGGTTTTAATAAGTGAATGAAACGTTTTTCATTATGTTAGAAAAACATTAAGAGAATGTTTGAAGAAGTTCTTATAACCAAGCAAGAATGTTAATACAACGTTTATATAACGGGAGAACTGAACGTTCTAATAACGTTTCAATGATGTTCTTATAACCAAGAAATAACGTTAATACAATGTCTAAAAAACTGGACGTTTTGAACGTTCTAATAACGTTTTCAAAAACTTTCTTATAACCAAGAAATAACGTTAATACAATGTTTATATAACGGGAGAATTGAACGTTCTAATAACATTTTCAAACACATTCTTATAACCAAGAAATAAAGTTAATACAACGTCTAAAAAACTGGACGTTTTGAACGTTCCTAGAAGATTCAGAAATAACTGAAATAATAATTTTTATAACTTAATGGGAACATTATGAAAACGTTCTTAGAACCTAAAATTTGCTGGGATATTAGTATTATAACTTGTAAGGTAAAATAAAAGTTTCTGTCTTAATTTTTTGTAGTTAGTTTTAAATAATAATAATAATAATTATTATTATTCAAATAAAAAGAAAAATGAATACAAATGTGAACACTGTCACAACTAAAAAAAGAGTCCTCTCCCTTTTTTTCTCTCTGTTCAATCGGATCACTAAAAGAAGTCTTGGTTCTTGTAAAGATTGAAGCCAATTGTGAAATCGAATGCAACTAATGCCACTGAGAATGGTTTCTTTGTTCTTTTGCCTGGATGTTACAACAAGAAATATACAACATCAGAACCATGAACATGCGAGTACGTTGTTAAATTATTATATACATTTACAATTAAAATCTCAGTTTTTTTTTGTTTGTTTTTTTATGTCAAAGAGGATTGGCTGATTAAAAAAAAAAAAAAAAACGTTTGGAAATCCCTGCCAAGGAGAAAAGAAAATCATACAAGTCTGAAGCATATGTGACTGAGCAGATGTCAACAGAATTGTCCTTTTTGGTAACAATTAATTCTGATAGTCCACTTTAGACATTCTACTAAATATAAGTAACTTTGCAACTACATGTCAACAAACTCTCATTAGAGTATTAGTAGACTATTTGCTTAATATCTGCTAGCACTTTATTCTGATGTTCCCCCGACAGACTATAAGTAACTTGGCAACTGCAAGTAGACAGCAGGGCTGTAGTACTCGAGTCCGGTCTTGGACTCGAGTCCGGACTCGAGACCGTTTTTCTATGGTCTCGGACTTGTCTCGGAAAAATTCACCTCAAGAACAGCTGGGCATTAACAAAAGTTATTTTTCACGGATTAGCTATTGCTTTAACACTCAAAACTGTGTCAATTTCGGTCTTCGTGAGTATAATGGTCTAAACATAGTCTGTTTTGTCTTTAATAACCATAAAACTCATGCCAGGCAGTATAATGAAGAGAGAATCCATGCACTAGCTCTTAAAGTGACAGTAACCATATGTGTCGGTCATTAATTTTTTAGTCAAAACAACAAAAGAGAGCTTTAAGTTAAAGGAATCAGGATTAATGTGTTTAATTTATTCAGAACTAAAATACTATCCAGTGTTATTTTCCATTTGATTACTTTATTCAGTTTCTGTCTATGAATACTAGTGTTAGACCTATTCAAAAACGTTTCTCTTTATTTGTCTTTATTTGTATCTTTATTGTATTTATTTGTGTAAATTTTTTCAATTTAAGTGAACAATTTAAATCAAGCCTTGTGTTGTGTAAATTTTTAACAACATTACCCCATTGTAAAAAATGCAATGAGCACAAACATTTAGGCAAGATCAATTTAATAATTTTGTTTGGCAAAAACGAAATTCAGGCCCTGAAGACTTTTTTTATCCCCTGTCCTGGACTCGGTCTTGACTCAGACTCGAACCTTTTTGGACTCGGTCTTGACTTGGACTCGAACCTCTTTGGACTCGGTCTTGACTTGGACTCGACTAGTCCTGGGGCCTCATGTATAAACGTTGCGTACGCACAAAATGGGCATAGAAATATGCGTACGCATTTTTCCACGCACACATCGGGATTTATAAAAAATAAACTCGGCGTAAATAAGTGCGCACCGTAAGGATGCTCTTGACCGTGCGTACGCACTCTTTTAGAAGAGTATGGGTTTTGGCGACACCGATGGTGAGCTGGAGTCAAATGTCTTTTTGCTTACTATTAGACAGAGAATCTAAAGAAAATTATACATCTACAGAAAGATAATACAAATATAATTTCACAAACCTATCATCACTTGCAAACATCCATCCCTTCTTAAATGACCGTGCCAGCACGCGCGTTGGGCCGTTTGGTGAAACTGACGCACATATAGCCTATAATCTAACGGCAGATGAAGTAAAACCGTAAATCTTCATTATGAGTCCAAATCATAAATACAGTCCATATTCACAATAACAGTTTAAATAAATAAGAGAATGGTTTAAACTATGTTTTACTTCTGATATAAACATTTAGATTAATTATGCCATTAAAATATGAAAAATATATTTTTTTTTCATAAGATAAAATATTTTAAATATGAGTTAAACTCTTAAACTACATGAAATCATTACTGAAAAGTTACAATATATATATATATATATATATATATATATATATATATATATGAAGAGTTCAGATGCAAAAGCCTCTAAATGCCATTTGAAATTTTCTTCTTGAATTATGATTTTTATCAAACTTGTATATTTAAGTTCAGTAATTTCACTTAAATAACAATTAATAGGTAATTATCATCGCCATTTAAGTGAAATTACTGAACTTAAATATACAAGTTTGATAAAAATCATCATTAAAGAAGAAAATTTCAAATGGCATTTAGAGGCTTTTGCATCTGAACTCTTCATATATATATTCAATAAAAAGAAATAGACCTATTTGTTGTGGATGCATTGCTTTTGAACACTTTTCTTCTGGCATGCTGTGTTTTAATGTTTTAACAAGAGATTGTCTGAGAAAACTGTTTCGTGCAAATAATGCACAACCATGTCTATCTCTTTCCATTAAAATACAAATCAATTAAAAATACTATTTGGCCAGTGGAAAAGATTAAGAAAAACTTTCTCTGAAATGTATTTAACACTATTTGATTTAATCATTCAAAAACAAGGCAAGGATATAGGCCATTAAAACAAAATGTTTGTAATAATGTGACGGCACATCCGCATTTCATATTTTTCTAACGTCTTGTACCGTTAAACTTGGTATCACGTGGATAATCATATGCAAATGATATGCAGATGAGGATATGCATATTTAAACTAGGCGTTGTAATCTCCATATATGGTTATTTCGGGGAGGAGACGCACATGCGCATAATCTTCCGCTGACTGGGATTTATAAAGTGAATTCTGCGCAGGTTCTGGCGTACGAACGGTTCTATAAATCTGAAAACTTTTGTGCGTACGCAAATTCTGCCTTATGTGCGTACGCACACTTTAAGGATAAAATCTACCCAAAGTTTTATATATGAGGCCCCTGGTCTTGGACTTGTCTTGGACTCGACAAAGGTGGTCTTGACTACAGCCCTAGTAGACAGTATATGAAACTGAACCCTACCTAACCTGACTAACCTGAACTAACCTGAACCCTACCTAACCATACCTACCTAACAGTCTACTAACAGTCTATTAATACTCTAATGAGAGTTAGTTGACAAGTAGTTGCAAAGTTACTTATAGTTAGTAGAATTATTGAAACAAAGACTATCGAAATAAAGTGGAACCTCATTTTTCTGTGAACAATGCCTTTAACCTTTCTGTGTAGAATATAAAATCTTTTCTGGCTTACCATACTTAGTTAGCCAGATAACATTTTACATTCTTTCAGAATGTTCAGAAAATCTTTATTACCTTTAGCGCGACCTTTGTCTCTTTTGCTCCCCTGCTTTCTGTGCTCAGCCAGATGCCCATGACCACGTCTCCTGGCTTTACGATTGAACTCTCCCTCTGGTGAATGATTTCCTCGCCGCATATGAGCAGGACCCCTGACTTCATCGTGAACCTCCACCCTCATACTGTCTCCAGGCTCCATCTCCAGCCTTACAGGACTCAGGCCATCTAGACTTGTCCCATCATACTCCAGTCGGTCCACAGGCCTTCGAGAGAGCAGCCCAGCATTATTACTCTCTTTGCATGACCAGTGTCTTCTTTGCTGGCTGTCACCCAGAGGACCCATGTCAGGGTCTGGCTTGGAGTCAGCGGTGGAGGTGGAAGACCTGGTCAGACTCTGTTTGGCATTTTCAGATGGGATCTCAGAGCTGTGCGAGGTGTGGGACAGTGTGATAAGGAACAGGGCAAAGAGATGACACAAGCCTGAAGCTGCCATCTTCAAACACAGCGCCACCTGCTGGTTAGGGGAAAATCAGGTCAGCTCAAAACAGACAGAGGGATACAGTATATTTGCACTTTAAATACATTTGAGCATACAGATCTTATTTATTACATATGTAGCAGGTAGGGTGGTTGAGATGGGAAGTGTAGTGTGAAGCCCCGCCCACTGGCTCTGATTATGAGCAGGTGGCACAAGTGAGGCGTCCCTTTAAATGTGTTGTGAGAAATGGATAGGAGAACATTAGTGTGGTGTGAACTGAAGAGTAAGCTTCTTGGAGCATCAGCTGTGCAAACGGGAGAACCTCGGCCTGGCGTCTGGGCGTGCGTATGGGAATTGTGTGTATCATTCACTGGTCACGAGTCTACTGAGAGTTCGATCGCATAACAGCGAGAATTAATTCCTATACGGGGGTGCAGCAATAAGCAACGCTGGCGGGAGTGTGCACAGCCACTAGCAAACCACACTGGTAAGACATCATTGGTGCGGTGCAGACCGTACCAATTTGTCTAGGGGGTCAGGAAAACGAGGATTGTCTTCGTCTGTCCAACCAGCCACTGTTTTTCCTGAGTTAATTTGGTTTGATTGCATTCCTGTGAATGTATGTGCGTGCTTTGAAAAAAAAAAAAAAACATCTGCCACCATTGTCACATGAAGACGGCTGTCCTGTTAAGTTGACTGTCTTCTTGTATCTGTTTGTCTGCAATATTGATATCATAATAGGCCTCTGGGCATTGTGCAATATTTCATGTGGGGACAGCGTTCAGTCTGCAGTGTTCACTAGTGTGAAGTGTATTGCAGTGTTGGAGTGTGTGTGTGTGTGTGTGCAGTATCTATTTATTCACTTTATATTTATGTATTACGATACTTTTATTCACTGTAAATATTTATTGTAAATTGTCTGTTGCTGCCTACAGGAATATATTGCTGTTGTCGATTGCCAATTAACATATTATTGCTTTTTGTGTTTAATAAAGTCTATATTTGAATACATCAGTCCCAGTTCTGTTCCTTTATTGGACACAACCGGCCGAATGATATAAAAGGGGAGTGTGGTTTTGGATTCTTTTTATGTAACCAAATTTCATGCTTTAGAGCGCCCCCTGATGGTCACACATATAAGGGATCATTCATTCCTATATCATTAACTATAAGGGGAGGTCACACCACATGACGTTTAGAACTAACTGACTTGTCATAAAGTCATCAAACTTTTTGATAATGTAAGAGACTAATGGACCCTTTTCAAATGCTGCCATGACACGTATTAATCTTTCAATATTTTTTACATTTTCATTTTTAAAAAGTTGAATATACATTTATGACTCTTTTTTTCTGTGCTTTATTAGCTTTGCATAAAATCACAGAAAACTGGTAAAAAAAAAAAAAAATTTCTTGCACACTAAATTTAGTCCTAAATTTCAAATGCGTTTTTCCGTATTCGTCATTCGGTGGAATTGTCAAAACACCTCTCAAAATGCTTGCTATGGATGCAAAAAAACGCAGAAAATCTTACCAGATCTGAATTTTTTTATGACTGATGAAAGTTTCTGAGGCAGTGTGCAAATGTGATTGACAAAACGCGAGGTCGTATTTATTTTTTACCGTGAGGAAAAATTTCAGACGAAAATTTCGTACTCAGTATGCAGGGACCTTAACGCTGCTAAAATGAATGTATCTAATATAACATTTGAGGGAGAGACAGCAAATTTGACATCTTTCTCTCTTCTGAAAAATTTATCAATCTCTCTTCTATCTTTTAGAAAGTCATAGAAATGTTATTGTAGAGTTTGCAATTGGGGAAAATGAGTATGCAAAGAAATATTTATATTTGTTGTAGTTTGTTTTCGCTCCAAAAAAGCATAATTATAATTTAAAAACATGCTCATCATGGAAAATGTGTTATTAAAGTCACTATATGTATAAATTACATATTTAACGTATTTATGAATAAATTAATAGATTAATCATGTTGTTAACACACTTACAGACTACTCATAATATCCCATTAGATTGAAAGACCACTCATAACATCTAACTGCACATCTCAATGTTTGTGTACAAGAATCCAGCCCTGACAAAATTTTTGGATGTTATGGCCAATATCCCCATAATAATAATGCTTATTATAATTTATCTTAGTTAGCTAAGCTTAAATTCATCGAAACTGGAAAAAAGACTCATTTTCTAAAGAAAAAACTTTCGACTAACGCATTGGGGCTAGAAGTTTAAATCAGGACATCTCAAACCAGAGCATCATAGTACACCCACAAACATACTTACATATTTAAATAATAGCTTTTTAAATAATAGCCTTGCTTTGCTTTGCTTTGACATGAAATAAACAAGAGCTCAAAGGCAACCTAAATGTGTTGAGAAAACTTGTCAGACTAAATATCATGTTTGGATTCCCACTAGGTCAAGAATAAGAGGATCCAAAGGAAGAATCTTTCCTCAGGTGGCATATCAAAGTCAAACTTATGAGGAGGTTCTTACCATGCATCTTACCATGCAAATCAGTGACATGGGTCTTACTTTGATCATCTGAGGTCTCCTCGCATCCTCAGATTTTCCCTTTAGTAAATCTGGCCCCTTCACTCTGTGTTTTGTCCCTGATAGCTGTTTGTGTTGCCTCAGACATCAGGCATCTATCCCTGCATTTGGTGCAATACTGGAACCAGAGGTACTGATTACAAACATGCCAACTTTACATCTAAGATGTCTTTATATTTCTGATTATTTGTCATATTTTTAATAATAGAGAAAGGTTATTATTATGATGGATTCAAGTCATGTTGGAATGATGTAGGAATGTCACCAATAATTACTTGTGGGAAACTCAGGAAGTAAAGTTTATATAGGGGAGAGCGGGGCACAACCTAACACATTTTTGTTTTGGCTCAATTAATCAATTAATTTAAACCTAAAAAAAACCAATTAGGTTAGATTAATATTTTTTTACACAAGCAACATATACATCTCTGCTACAAATGAACACTTTTTTCTAGGACCTACCATTTTCGTACAGTTGCACTGAAAGTGACAGAAGTGCAAATGTTACAACTTACCCCATATGCAGGGTTAATTGTAACAGACAGAGGGGTTAGTTAACACTTTTGTGTAACACACATAATTCAGAAGAATTTTATTTGTATAGTTTGATATTGTTTGCGCATCTGTATAGACAGATATCCATACATCCATCCCTCATCCAGTCATCCTTTTGTGGATCAATATCATGGATAGAGACATAGAAAGGGCTGCACAGTTTTGCAATAATAATAATAAATAAAATTATAAAATATTGTAATTGCAATAAATTAGATTTGTGTATGGCAGCTGCATGTACAATTATTATTATTAGTAATAATAACAGTAATAATAATACAAATGAGCTTAAAATAAACATCTAAAGGGTTTATCGCATTAAAAACAGGCCATATTTTTTATAAATAAACAAGTTATCATTCATAGTACACTACATTTTAAACATTTTAAATTCCAACGTTGTTTGTGAAAGTCCAACAAATTTAAATGTCTACTCAAACCTGAAAAGTTGTGTGGCTCCCTGTTTTCATTTGATTATCCTTGTACACTTGGCGGCTTAGTTGTAACACTGTGCTACAACTAACCCCGCTGTGTATTACATTTTAACCCTAGCTAACAGTCGCTAGGAATTGCTAACATGTTTCAAAACGGTGCTATGTTTGAGCCAACAAGACAGTGATTCAGGCAATATAAAGTTAGATTTGGAAACATATACACCCAACTCAGAAACCGAAAAAAAAATCTATGATGAAAAAATTTACTTTCATGGTGCCAAAACACTCTTTGTCCAGTATCTTCAAGAAATATAATCAAAACTTTCCGCAAATTCGCAGGAGACCAACTTCTGGCAGCGAGAGAAAAAGAGCGGAAACACAACCTGCTTGATCCTTACAAACTATGTAAAAGGTCCATGTTACATTTAACCCCGCGTTAGGTTGTGCCCCGCGCTCCCCTACATTTTTTGTATTATTGATGAGGAATAGCAATGAGGCTTAGAAAATACCATTCATTCAACCGGTTATGTGGTGTCAGGCTTGTGTGATCAAACCAATTTTTTTCTAGTGATAACAAACTTCCTGCCTTTATTAGCAAGTGAAAAGAGAGCAAGAAATATGAAATTGCCCAACAAGATTCCACTGGTAAGACTATTTAGGTCAATTAAATTTCACATTCAATGTAAAAATTGAGAAGAAATTTATTAGAAATGTGCCCAAGCCCTTATTTGAAAGGCACGGTTAATGACTCCAACGCATTGTAAATATATATATATATATATATATATATATATATATATATATATATATATATATATATATAGGGAGTGCGGGGCACAACCTAACGCGGTTAAATGTAACACGGATCGTTTACATAGTTCGTCAGGATCAAGCAGGCTGTGTTTACGATATAAAATTTTGATTATATTTCGTGAAGATACTTGACAAAGAGTGTTTTGACACCATTAAATTACATTTTTTCATCATAGATTTTTTTCGGTTTCTGAGTTGGGTGTATACGTTTCCAATTCTAACTTTATATTGCCTTAATCACTGTCTTGTTGGCTTAAACATAGCACCGTTTTGAAACTTGTCAGCAATTCCTAGCGACTGTTAGCTAGGCTTAAAATATGTAATACACAGCGGGGTTAGTTTTACAAACAAGCCGCCGAGTGTACAATGATAATCAAATGAAAACGGAGCCTCACAACTTTTCAGGTTTGAATATACATTTAACTTTGTTGGACTTCCACAAACAATTGTTTAATATTTAAAATGTTTAAAATTTATGAAAAAATGAATGAAATGAATGATAACTTGTTTATTTATTAAAAATATGGCCTGTTTTTAATGCAATAAACCCTTAAAATTATTATTTTAAGCTCATTTGTATGATTATTACTGTTATTATAATAATCATTGTACATGTGGCTGCCACACACAAATCTAATTTAATTGCAATTACAATATTTTATA